GCCGAAGGTCTCCTTTCGCGTTCCTCAGGAACGCCGCGGGACGTGACAAAACGTCGGCATGTTACGCCTCGGGAGTGAGAACGGGCTGAGCATTTCTATGACTGCATGCAGTCCCGCTTTTTTAAGATCTAGCTAACTACCATTTTGGGGGTTAGAGTATTGGTAAATATTGCCCATAGGTTTGAATGTGAGTGTGAAATGCTGTCTGTGTCTACATGTTAGCTCTGCGACACACTGGCAACCTGTACAGGATGTACCCTGCCTCTCACCCTAAGACAGCTGGGATGGATAGAAAGCTCAAACTGTAAGAACCAGCACTGAGCCCCATAACATTTATACACAGTGTCAGAGCAATACCTGCAATCCACACCCTTTAAAATCATGATTAAAATGCTGCCATAAACACGTCAGCCTAGATGTTACTATACTACATAATTTCTAATACTTGAGTTAAAAGATTTGAAACAGGATGATTACCATGATAGCTGTCCTTTCTATCATTCCTGATACTGCTGCCCTCTGCCAAGCCAAAGAGATGATACTACACACAAGCGCCACACCACATCTGGCATATATTGTTCTATTTTGTACAGTACACTGTTGAAAATTATAAACTATATAACACTGTTATTTTTACTTAGCAGTAGTTTATCAATATATGGAAGTGACTGTCAGTGAATCTAACCAGGAGAAAACGGGAAAATACCAGATTTTCTGAGCAATTACCAATTCAATTCAATAATTCAATTCGATAAAACTTTATTGATCCTAAAGTTGACCCCGAAGGAAATTGGGTTAAGGCTGCCGACCTTTGCCAGCACCATCTTACCCTTCTGACCATACATACATTGCACAAACATCACATGGGGAAGACAGGTCAGAGAGGTATAAAGATGGAAAATGCACAACATGAGGAAAGATAAGAAAAAAATAACTCCCCCCAGACTGAGCTCCAACAGGGAGATCAGTTAGAGAACAGAAAAAAAACACCTCTGCACATGAAAAAAAAAAAAACTCTTAATACACCAAAGAAACACATGACAAGCAACAGGGGTGGGTAAAGGGTGACAGACAGCCAATGTAGACAGCACATCCGGGCCTGCAGCATAAGCGCTCGTCTCCTTGATCCACCGTCAGCATCGGAGGGGAATAAGCGTTGAAGCCGTTTGGAGGGGGAGGGGGGATGAGTGTACATCTGCATGTGTATATATGTCTGTGTGCGTGTGTGTGTATGTGTCCAGAGTTCAGCTGAGACACTGTCCTTCGCCCTGCTAGGCTAAGTAAACAGTCTTTCAGCCAACACAGGTGGCCTTGCATAGAATGGGAAGAACAGTCTAAACACAGTCGTTATCAGGGTGTTGTTGTTCAGCTCCAGCCTTGAGACCGCAGTTGGCGCCGAAGGGGTATCCGCATGAATTGATGGTGGTTTTTACTTTAGTGCGAACAACTCATATGAATTTCAAAGCTGTTCTAACAGTCCGACACTGGTCTCTCAATCTCCCGTTGGAGAGCCGTGAGCTTCTCCATGATGTTATCAACCTTACGCTCCGTGATGTTGTCATTCTTGTGCTCAAAGAGCCGATTCTGAGAACTCACAACCGCAGTGAGCTTCTCCAAGATGTGATCCAATTTGCGCTCAGAGGTCTTATTCTGAGTGTTCACGGCAGCCGTAAGCTTCTCCAAGATCTTATCCGTGCTACACTCAATGAGCCCATTTGAGAACTCACGCCTCGTCCCATTGTTTCAATCCCAGCGGGCAGCCTTGTGGGGGTTTGAACAGCCGGTTCCACTTTCTTAATTCTTCGATAAGTCAGGGCCAAGCCAGCTCCGATCAACAAGAACCCTGTTATCATGGTTCCGAATAGGTCGCTATCTTCAGCACTCAGGCTCACCCGAGCCCAGACTTCTCGTTGAGAAAAGGGTGTCAATTGCATTCAAGGACCAGTCGATCAAATCCATAATTCCTCTTTTAGGTTTTAGAGAACAGACTGTGAGAGAGTGTTCCAGGGAAAAGTAATACAAAAAACACGAGACTAGACAAGGACATGAGGCTAAACAGGGAAGATAAGGGAGGAGAGGAGAGGAGAAAAGTGCGACCGCCTTCGTCAAGAGCAAGAGCAAAGTTCAAGAACAAGAGCAAAGAAGAGAGCAGCTCAAAGAGTGGAAATTTAAAGAAATGGTGAGCTTGGAAGGCCACTCCCTAAATAAGTAAATTCAATTCAATTCAATTCAATTCAATTTTATTTATATAGCGCCAAATCACAACAAAAGTCGCCTCAAGGCGCTTCATAGATACAGAGAAAAACCCAACAATCATATGACCCCCTATGAGCAGCACTTTGGCGACAGTGGGAAGGAAAAACTCCCTTTTAACAGGAAGAAACCTCCGGCAGAACCAGGCTCAGGGAGGGGCGGCCATCTGCTGCGACCGGTTGGGGTGAGAGAAGGAAGACAGGATAAAAGACATGCTGTGAAAGAGAGACAGAGGTTAATAACAGATATGATTCAATTGTATGTGAGGAGCAGGATTTTGAATTCAATTCTGGTGGTGGGTGGGTTCTTTTACATTTTGAGAGAAACCAATTGAGTCTAACAACAGATTAAATGCCATGTTGAGGCTGTCATTTTTAGCATCAACATGGATGTTAAAATCACCCACAATAATTATTTTATCTGAGCTCAGAACTAAATTAGATATAAAGTCTGAGAAATCAGCGTTCCAGAATTCCAGAGTGCATTTGTCTTTGGCTGTGTTCCTGTCTGTTTGTCGATGGCTTAACCTCCCAGGGGTGTTTGTTGCCTATTTTACATTTATTTGCCCATGCCCTAAGAGTTTATTGTCTTTAAGTGCACAGTTTGTCTGCAGTTTGAAGCTGCATCTCCTCTGGTTTTTGAATGTTTTTGACTATACCAGCAATAGCTTGAAAATTTACACAACAAAATCAGTCATCACCAGCCAGGAGGCTATTGAGATATTTGTGCAAATAAGAAAGGGAGGAAATAATAGGCCATATATAATAGCTAAATAATAAGTTGAGATTTGAAAAATCTAAATAGTAAGGAAGAGAAAAGGTGTAATCGAAATTTATGAATATCACTGGGAAAGCAAACTGAGTTGATCCTGAGACCTTACTGAAAAGCAGTCAGTTGGATCAAAGGATGTGTACATGTAAGCCTTAAGCATTTATAAGCAACTGAGCTCATAGAAAAAAGAAAACTTGCTAAATATCAGACTCACCTCCCAGTGGACTAATTCGCTATAAACACAAACTGAGCCACTAATAAGTGTGGCTAGAAGCTAGAGATCTATGAGTATGCAAATATAAATATGACTGGAGGTTAGATAACAATGACCATATTTTAAAGTAGTTTTGATAGGTAAAGCTATAAACTGGAAAGAAAATAAACGAAGTCTGATGGTGATAACAGACACTTATAAAATAAACAGATTGGGTGTGTTTGTGAATAAAATATGCCAAGAGGCTGGTTGTGAAATAACAATATAATTCTGAAATGATAAGTTACAAACAATAAAGTAAACATATATAAACTAGACAAGTAACCAATTAAACTGAAAATAACATAACGTAATATCTGCATTAAAGAAGGAAGTAGCAGTGAAAGTGAAAGAATCGGACACTATAGAACACTATAGTGAGGAGGGAGCATTAGAAACTCAAAGAATAAGAACATATGTTTTGTTAGACAACATAAAACATTGAAAACATATAAAAGCTCGTACGAAGGCCATAGGATACACAACTGATCAACTTGAAACTTTGGCAAATAATTATTTAAGAGAAGTACAAGAAGACATAGATGCAGTCTAGCCCTCCTACCATCCTTGGGGTCAATTTGACCCCATTCAATGTCTATCATTCAAAAAATGATAAAACTTAAGTTTTGTTTTTGGGGGGTTTTTCTGGCTTTATATTTCATCACATTTTCTAATTTAATGTGGAAAAGTGATTAAACATAAAATTTTACAGAAGACTTTTTTTCAATGAGCTGTACACATTTTCCATACATCGGTGTTCCTCTGGGGTCATATTGACCCCAAGTTGTTTTAGCTATGTAAAGCATATCTGTCTGTCTGTGTGACCTAAAATCTTTACCTGCAGGTGCAGAGATGGTTCTTTGAAGTTAATACAAGAAAAAAAGGTGGGGAAAACATTCCATTGAGAAAGTCTTGATGCATGCTCAATTATCCAGGTAAGTAAATCCCATAAGGTTGAATCTGTTCATCTGGACATCGCGTTTTCAGTGGGAGAAACGTTTCATCACTCATCCAAGTGACTTATTCAGTCTCAGCAGACTGCAGGTTTCTGCAACTTTATAAACAGTACATTTGCACAATGACTGAAACTAGCCCACTGAAGTGGGCTTCGGTGGGCTTCAGGGAGGGGTGGACAACCTGGAGAAGGTCAAAGAGCAAAGGGTCTAGGTTGGCAAAAATCAACAGGATTCATTCTCAAGGGCACTGATGTGCACCCAAAATTAAAAAAAAAAAAAAACATGGATGAAAGACTCTGAAGATTCACAAAATCTAAAATTGAAACTTTGACATGATGTTGGTGCTAGAGAAAAGGCCGTGTTGTGGCGACCCACTAGAGGGCTCCACTTACACCCAAGCTAGGAGGAAGGGTTCTGCTGTGTTTGGGCGCAATATGCTCAGTTCATGTTTGGAGGTGAATAAAGTTGGAGTGGAAAAACTAGAACTGTGTCCGAATTCAGGGAAAGGATGCTTAAAATGCCATATTTGGATGCAATGACGTCACTGTGACGCGACGAAAGGTGTCCAAATTCAAAGAGCACTCAAAATGTGGCGACAAATACCGTCCTACCTCTCTGTGAATTTGAGGGTTAGCTGTGTCCGAATTCAGGGGAAGGATGCGCCAATGCCATATTTGGAGGCAATGACATCACGGCGACGCAACGAAGGCTGTCCAAATTCAAAGAGTACTCAAAATGTGGCAACAAATGCGTCCTACTTTGCCCTGAATTTTAAGGATGGGTCATGTCACTACCCGATCCGTACCGGAAACCTGATCGTAGACATTGAGGGCTAGCAGGAGGGGCTATGCGCTTACCTGCTGCTCTCTGGCAGGTAGCTCCATGCCCTCCTGGGTTTTAAATGCACCTTAGAACACACATGCATCAAAACTACATATGAGCGGGCGGAGGGAGGTTTGGAGTCTTCACACACACCGTTCTCTGCGGCCTGCTGGAGCGGGGGGGCTAGGAGGAGAAGTTGGCCGTCCGACTGGGGTCTGGAATGTGGGGCCTCCCTGCTGCTGCGGAGTCGGGGCGGTCTGCATCTCCCCACTCCAGGGAAAAGGGTAACACCACCTGGGTCTGGTTGCAGTTTCCCCCTCCAGGGGCAAGGGTAC